GATGGCACTCTTTCTCCGATTGTTGCAGATCCAGATCAAGCTTTTATGTCTAAGAAGGTTAGTTATTTGTTCACATGACACCACGACTATTATTTGCATAAAATTTCTGGGTACTTCTCATCTATAAATTTGACATTCATTTCACATGCTTTGTGTACACCAGATGAGAAAGACGGTGAGAAAGGTAGCCAAATGTTTCCCTACAGCTATAGTGAGTGGTAGTCTGGTAGATGCAGGGACAAGGTACATTTTCAGGCATTAAAATTTGATCCTTTATTTAATGTTCACACAATTGGTAAATCTTTTGTTGTTTTGAAAACTGCAAGGTATATAACTTTGTCAAGTTGGCTGAGCTATATTACGCTGGAAGCCATGGAATGGACATTAAAGGCCCTGAGAAACTTTCCAAATCTAACACAGTGAGTAAACTTATGTTTCTCAGGTCAAAATCTAACACAGAAACACATGACGTGTTTGATATAAAATCAATACCTTGTTCTCGACTGGCACCTTGACTTGCACTTTGATCTTGAGATTCCAACGACTGATCTTGCATTAAGAACTTGATTGAACAAAGTAGTTATCTGTTTAAATCATAAATCTAACATTAAATACTACAGAACCATATTTACCTTTGATCTAGGTTTTTTCTACCGAAAACTTGTCGGCAACTTATTACCTGTGCACAATTTCCCTTCAATTCTTTCCATTTACTACTATGCTGTTAGTTGTGAAATTCTTGATGTTTATATTCTGAATTTTATGCCAAATGAATCCGAATTTGGAATCAAATAGGCCCGAGATTCGCATTTAGCATCTCTTATTCTTAGATTACTCGGTTAAACTTATCTAATAGGGGAAGGATTTATGCTTGGATTCGAACTTTGAATTTATTAGATGCCAGTTTTTGAAGATGACCATGAACCATTTGAGTTTCGAGTTCACTTAGGAATGCTTATTCTTTCTCTATAGTGTGTGAATTTGGTGGTTGGCATGAACTAATCCTATGATAAACCCATCCTCGAAGTGTAGTAACGAATCGGCCCGGGATTTGTATTTAGCATCTGGAATCTATTTTCCTATTCTTCGACTACCTCGTTAAACTTTTCCGATAGAGAAGGACTTATGTTAAGATTCGAACTTTGAATTTGCCAACTACCACATTTAAAAAGTATCTGCATGAGCAGATTGAGCTAAGTTTTGAGTTCAGGAATGCATCGTTCTTTCTCTTCTAAACCTTTGATGTTATGTAAATTTGGTTACAACTTGTAGGCGGTTGGCATGAAGAGACCATATCTTTTTTCTCTAGACAATGTTCCAGGTCCCCTATCGTAAAATAATAGAGGTTTTTGCTTCAAAAAATGTACGAAGCATCGTTTTAGTAGCCTTGTAGGTTTTGGTTTGTATTAGTATTGATATTGTTTGACTATAATTTCTATTACATTTTTGTTTTAAAAAAATTATTTATGTTTTGTCTATTATACGGTACAAGTATAGGGGCATAAAATTGTTATCTCGCCCAGGGCATTAAAACTCATTGGACCGGCCCTGCATGCACGTAATTAATGTTAGGCTCCCTAGATGTTGCAGCTCCGCTATCGAGAACCCCTACGATTCCAGGATCCGAAGAGTTACACCGAAGCCCAGCCCCAACCCCTGGACGGCCCTTCCCCGGCTGGAGACTCCCCTCCGGCAACCCATCCTCGCCATCCTTTGAATTAAAATCCCTTCTTATGTTTGATTTTTTTATATAACCGATTCCTTCTTATGTATGTTGGTCCACACTCATCGCACCAAATATTGATAAAAAAACATGTGAGGTGATAAATAACAGTGGTTTAGAATGTAATAAACGGGGAGGTTGGTCAATAGTTTGATCATTCATCTCTTCTGATGTAGATGAAGAGTCACTGAGTGATCAAAGTTTATTCTAGAGGTTCATTCTCTGAACTTCTCCTTTCTATCGTATGAAAACTTTGTTATAATTATTAAACTTCGAACAAACCGCATTGGATCAGCGGAGGGAACAACAATAATTATTAAACCTTTTTTCTGCCTCCAAGTGCACTGTAATGTTTCGTGCAAGATCATGCAAACAAGTTTAGGATAAGAACCATGCATCCTACGTCAGACTTGAGCGCATTGTTATATATATATATATATATATATATATATATATATATGGATGAATTCACCTACACAATGTAAAACTCTTTAGTTTTATACAGATGTAGGATCATTGAATGAGTAAAAATAGATAATTGTGATTGACGCTTTGTTTTTTCTCAGTAAATATTTTTCATTGTTAATATCAAACATCTATTTTCACTGATCAAACGGTTTTAAATATGTGTAAAACTAAAAGAGTTCTACATTGTGTAACAGGATTCTATCCCACACACGTATATATATTAATAGGTTAGAATTCACTTATATTGTGTAGAACTCTTTTAGTTTTACACATATTTAAGACTATTGGATGAATAAAAATTATATTAATAATACTATCCCTATATTTACTCTATTCATAATGTGTATTTTTTAAAAATTCTATTTAATATATAAATTATATTAATAATATAACAAATATAGTCTAATGGAATTTAATTTGAACTCATTTAATTATCTCAATGGTAAAAGAAATGTCGTTCTCATCAGAAAATTCATATTCGAGCATTTGCGTCTGCAAGGTATATATTATCAATTAAGTAAGCAAAATTCTGAACAAATATTATATTATAGTCATACTAAATTATTCAAAAATAAAATAATCCTGTTTTTTAAAAAAAATTATATTAGATGTAATTGCTGGTGGAACCATGTTTGAAAATGGGACCTTTGTGTGTGTTGTTGGATACCCAACAACACTGCAAAATTACCAACAAAGCAGGACACCAGATAAAGACAACTTAGGGTTCCAATTCGAAACGAAATTTAGATAATGATGTGCTTTAACCTTAGCCAGGTTGTCTTACAATCAGCTACCAACAAAGCAGGACACCAGATAAAGACAACTTAGGGTTCCAATTCGAAACGAAATTTAGATAATGATGTGCTATAAGCCTATAACCTTAGCCAGGTTGTCTTATAATCAGCTACCAACAGTGTTAAAAATTAAGCAGAAAAACAAAAAGATATTCCTTCTTTCTTTAGTGCCCCATTCGTGGGAATTAAACAAACTATTTTATACAATAATTTTATTAATACTGAGGGTGCTACCAAATTCTTGAGGGTTTTTTTTTTCTTTAGTAGAAAAATATTATCCAAAGATATGGGTCTATCCCTTCAATCTTTGAGTGGTACCTAATCTAAAATGGGGCGACTTTTTTTGTCTTGTTTCGGGAACTTCATCACCGTCTCTATAAAAGATCATGATTAAATAATTTATTATTTATTTATCTATAATATATCTTTGGAAAAAATATATGAATTTACACTTCTATATATGATATATATTAATAATAGAGTAAGGCATTCCATTTTTTATATTGTATTTACAAATACATTTGATAAATTACATTTTAAGAGGTTAATGTAACTTTCTATATATTCACCTAATGTGACTTTTTTTCTTCTTATAAAGTTTTTTATAGTTTTTTTAGATTTGTTTTTTTTTTAAAAATCGAATAGTAAGGATATAAATAATAAAAAAAGAAAATTAATGTGAAATTGGCAATTACAAAATCAAGAATATCAACGGGTGGTTGCACGCAATCTTTTGTACAAATAATAGCAAGAATCTTGGGGACTCCCACCAATTAAGTGTTAATCTCCTTTACGGTTGAGATTATTCATTAGATTCATTTATATGCAAGGATGGATCAAACGAGAGTAGGTAGGGACAGTCATCTCCTTGAAAATTTTAAATTAATATATATTAGATATTTTTTTATTTTTAATTGATAATTCATTTTTGTATCCTCCAAAAAATTTAAAAGTTTTTCTCCTTGTATAAGATCTTGTATTCGTCCCTATTTACACATATATTGTCTTATTTTACGAGTTATTGGTATTTGAATCTCAAATCTTGTATGAATTTGTACATGCAAGACTTTAGGTAATTTAGTTATTTTTTTCTATTAGATAAAGGCTCTCTACTTATTTTTATTTCATATAGTTTTAAAAAGTCTTAACAAGTAATATTTTTCTTATTTTTAAGAGGCTTATGAAGGAAAAATTGTAAGTTATAGTTTGATAATTTGGTTATGGAATTAAGACGATTATCGATAAGTTTACATTTACATCTTCATGAATGTTACATGCAAAAATTTAGGAACCATTCATCATTTGGCTTGAAGTATGTCATTATACTAATAGCTGATGGAATGGGCCATCGATAAAATTGGGTAAGTGTGATTGTCTGAATGGTACATTGAATTGAAAGAAGCCCAAAAATAAATATATTATTAAACAAAGCCACAGTGCTAAGTTTCACAGTTGTTTTCGGGAAAAAGAAATATTGGTAATAAACTTTTCAACAGAAACGCTTAGTGGAATTGTCATTTTTTTTAAAAAAATTATATTTTTATATAATTTAAATATTTTTTTTATTAATAACTTATTTTTATTTTTTAAAATTTTACGAATTTATAGATGTTTGTGATAAGCATCTTTTCTAGTAATTGTAAAACAAATAATCATTGAAAATTATAAAAGAAAATTTAAAACATAAAATTTTAAAAAATCTTGACAGGGACTTGAATGAATAATTCAATAATTATTTCAGTGTATTCCATTTTTTTGGGGATTCGCAATCTTTCCTTGGATCAAATTAGGATTAATTTATTAACATCAACTTATTATTAATGTTTATCATTGGGAGCAGTGACCACGATTCCAACTCAATTGATGAAGATAGATAGGGCAACAGGCTTGAATTTAATAATGGGTTTACAGTAAGGACAAAATTATAAACGTGGGTTAGAGAAGAGCTGAAGCAATTATAAGAGGAATGAGAGGATGAGTCTTTTTTTCTCAGAATAATTGCTGAAGTTTTCTCGTTCAACTTTCTTGTCTGAAAAGCAGAGTTTTAATTGTTTTTTATCTTCTAAGATAAACATCTGGCCACAACTATGGATTCTTCATCAACTAAATGGTTATCTGAATTGGTAAGATGTTTGGACTTAATATTTTCGTGCTTTTATGTAATATATATTGATTTGGGGTCTTGAATATCCAGGGAATGGATGAATACAACATCATCCACCAATGTCATATGAACTCTTTAGCTGAACTGGCCACCGCAGATGATTTTGCGACGGCCATGGTCGAAGGGAATTTGAAGCAATCATTCTCTTCCGAGAGCTATTCGTCTTACACCAAGAACGCCGACACTTTTAGCGGTTCATCATCCATTGAAACTCCTGATTACAAACCTGCAAAACATCTCAAAACCACCCGTCATGTTCCAATTAAACCTTCCTCTCCCACCTCTCAAATGCTTTCGTTTGACAACTCCACTTCACTGCCATCTACCTCTCCTCACCACTTTTATAATATTGACAACTCTTTCAACAACCCTAAAGACGAGACAGTATCCTCCGGAAATATGGACTTTTCACCTCTCGTCAACACAAATTATGGACCAAAAACCAATAGTAATCATGGGATCAAGAGGACTCACTCGATGACAAGAACCCCTTCGCTGGCTCAAGATCACATCATGGCTGAGAGAAAGAGAAGAGAAAAACTTAGCCAGCGTTTCATAGCTCTCAGCGCAATCGTTCCCGGCTTGAAGAAGGTACCACAAATTAATCTTTCTTATATATATTAATGAATTAGTACTTCTTTTACTGAAACCATGATTTTTTTAGATGGATAAAGCTTCAGTTCTTGGGGATGCTATCAAGTATGTGAAACAACTTCAAGAACGATTAAAGGTGCTGGAGGAGCAAACCAAGAAGAGAACCGTGGAATCTGTAGTTTTTGTGAAGAAATTCAAGTTATCGGCTGACGATGAATCTTCTTCATGCGATGACAACTCCGAAGGGCAGGCGACTGATGCAGCACTGCCTGAAATCGAAGCTAGAGTCTCCGACAACGATGTTCTCATCCGAATCCATTGCGAGAGACACAAAGGCTTCGTGGTCAAAATACTAAGCGAAATAGAGAACCTTCATCTATCTGTTGTTAATAGCAGTGCCTTGCCTTTTGGGAACTCCACTCTCGACATAACCATAATTGCCAAGGTAATTAACGGGCACATCTTTTAACTTCCGCTATACAAAAGAACGAAACTGAATTCATCATTAACAATGAAAACCAACACCATTTGTTTTTGCAGAAAGATTCTGAATTCAATATGACAGTGAAGGATCTTGTTAAGGACATTAGAGTGGCTTTATTGAAGTTCATGTGACACCAGTTTCTGCATCCTTGATTCTAATTTCCACAAATATCTTTAAGTTAATTTTCTTTGTTTTCTTTTCCCCTCTAATCTTCTAAGGGAAACCAAGGCTCTCATAAATCTATTCTTCTTTTTTAGACCATATCTCCACCTTGTTCCCAAAATCTTGGGTTTTCTCTGTGAGGTGCAGCCTACATGGTACGGGGTTTTTCTTCTATTCTCGTTTTTTTGCGTGGCTTACAAGTGAGATCACGTTTATTTCCTCGGACGCAAGGCTTACAAAATTCACTGATTTTGGTTTCTTAGAGAGCTTAGAGATTTCATCAACATTGATGCAGTATCAGTGAAATCTCTCTCTTCTCTACGAATTTGATCGAACATCATAATCTTTTTTATATTGGTCTATGCTTATCTACATATTGGGAAGATAGTCTGTGGTTTCTCTTAGAATTGGGTCTGTGGTTTCTCTTAGAATTGGGTCTGGCTTTTTTCGTCCTTTTTTTTCCAGGGGTCCGTGGTTTGTGTGAAATTCCCGTGTAAAATGTAAGATTTATTTGCCACTTTCTCCAAAAACGAAGGGCTTTTTTTCATCTGTAACATTTGATTATTGAACCATGTAAAATATATATATTTCATTAATTGGAAGTGTTCTTTGCCCATTGTATCATGCTTGGATTTAGCATATGAATTCCTCATATATCACATCATAGTTTCTGCTTATAAGCTGTAGGAAAATACATGTCTGCAAAATAGTGCTTGTGATTATAAAATGATAACAATAATTTCAATATATTGATATTCACGTTGTAGAGAAGCTCATACAATAAATTAAGCCCTACATCGTGGACCATGATTTAAGTATAGGGTAAATTACATAAGTAGTCACTCAATTATTGTTATATTTTAATTTTAATCACCAGATTAAATCTTTTTAATTTAATTACCAATGGTATAAAATGGAAAGCCCTAAACAATGATCACAATACATGACAATAGCAATAAAATCACATATCTTATTAACTTACCAATAAAATGGTTGCCACCGTTTGTGCTCTATATGAGCCAATAATCATGCATAACATTACCTACATTAGTATGCGGGTGAAACATTGATGAAATTCAAGTTATGTTACATTATTGGTACGCCATTATATAATATGTATGCTGCATATAGTATAGGCCAAGTTCGATGCACTTTTGAGCATGTTTGATATAAGATTTTGACTAATTGGTGCATATGGTATTGATATCATAGGCTAAATATGAAACTTTGAATGAAATTCAAGTTATGTTACATTATTGGTACACCATTATATAATATGTATGCTGCATATAGTATAGGCCAAGTTCGATGCACTTTTGAGCATGTTTGATATAAGATTTTGACTAATTGGTGCATATGGTATTGATATCATAGGCTAAATATGAAACTTTGAATGATTATTTGGTATTAACACTGGCATGGAGTATTAATATCACATATGTCGTGTTAATGCCAAATGTTTGAATATCAATACTCGTTAGTGAGATCCAAATTTAGTAACTCTAAAAGAGTAACGATGTCATTATTTAATATTAGTATTGTACAATATCGATGTTGGTAAAGATATCGTCACTAAATCAAGCTTTGATGTTTAAAATAATAATTTGGTAATGATAGCGTTCATCTAGTATCATTACTATTCTAAGGCAAATTTATATTGCATGAACAATATTGATATTAATCACATGAAATGTCTTAAATATATTGTTCAATTAGTTCTTTATGTTGGTGATAATTATGTCTGATCCTTGGAAGTGTCGGTATGCATGATATAGTCAATAGTGACGAGTTAAAGGTGTTACAGTATCAATACCATACCAATGTATCGATATGTATCGGGAGATACTGATACCCCTACTTTAACATGTCTAAATTGATGTTGTTTGACAGTCGTAAATGAGAAATTTTTTGCTTAAGTATTTATATGATTAAATATGTTACAATAAGGTCCTTTAGTTGATATTTGAAGCCGAGCTTTGTTTGATTTGATTTTCAATATAACCAGAAGTTGTTCAATTGTTTATATGTGACATCTCTTATTCTTTTAATTGAGCGGAATGGATAAAAGATGTTACATAATATGTTATTATACTAATTAAAAACTATCACTCCAATAACTTCATTAACTAGTTAATGACCAATGACCAAAACAATAAATTTTTATAGTGTTGGTGACTATTAAAAAAAAATAGTTTAGTGATCAAAATAGAGAAACCCTAATAGTTGGGTAACTAACTAGTTTTCCAAAAATAAATATAGCACAAGAACACCTAAATTATAGCATGATAATGTTAGAACCAAAATGATATAAAATCAAAGCTCTTTTTTTCATTATGTCAAATCATCAAAAATAAAATACTAGATGCGAAAGCGCACCTAAATTAATTAATATGTTGAAATATTTGAATATTTTTTTTGTTGTGATCTTCCAACAATATATGTTTTCTATTGTCGTAAAAACTTTATGATGAGATAAGAGTAATACAAATTAACCTATTTCTTGGAGCCACTATATTTTTATATAGAATGAATATTAGGTCAATTTATTAGGTATTTATAATTCTACTTCTCATCAAATTATAAATTTAACTTATGGTATCTACACTTCAATTTCATTACATTTTAATATTATAACACATGTAACATAATTGATAACTTAATTTTATGTCATATTTTATAATAACATTATACATTATATATGTATATTAACAATTATGAATTTTAATCCAACAAACAACAGGCGAATACATGCAAAACTTAGGCCTAAATTACATTTAATGTAACATAAAAGCACCTATATATATCTTCTATATTTCTACCGCCCTCTCCACATCACGAGCACTAGGTAATAAGATATTCAATCTGCATCAACATCAACAAAATCAACCTCTATTAGGTGTTTTTATTGAAAACCCCAAACAATATTAAATTGTTAAACGATGTATATACATCGTGGTTAATTATGAAGCTGTTTCAAACAAATAATGTCTCTATTCCCATTATTCTTGAAAGATGGGTTTTAGTCATGAATCACGCCTCTTCCTTTATTTTCACCTTTTGTCAGCTTTCTGCTAATTTAAATGATGATCTTAGGTTTGAAAAAAGTGATCTTTCCATTGCATTTTCTCACTTGACGTCGAAACTAATTATTATGTCCCTCTTCAAATCTTTAATTAATGCTTAAACATTAATAATGAACCAATAATTATAATAAGTCAAAGAATATTTGGTAATGTTAATGTGTCATATACAACAAATTATAGAGACAAATTGTGGACAACTTATACATATTCGTTCTAAAAATTTAAAAAGAAAAAAATACCAACATTATTATTATTATTATTATATATATATATAATAGTTTGGGATGATTACAATGTAATATTTATTTATAATTATTTTGATCTATTGACAACGTATACACCGCAATTGCAGCTACTCAAACTCTAATTCTTTAGGAAGAATAATATTCTATTTTACCATTAAGGCAACATATTGAGTTCATATTAACATATTACTCTCTCTATATATTCAACATCGATATTTTATAAGAGAAAAAATGATTAATTATTATTATTATTATTATAACATTTAAGAAAACATAAGATTGAATGTTATTTAAGCATGTGTTATGCTTTTATTTGGAGATTTGGAGAAATCAGAGTAAGTAGTAGATTTGGTATAGAAAGTAGGATGAAAAACGAAATTGATGATAATAATGTTGAAAAATAGCTGCTCACCTATATCAAGTTGGAGGCCTAGGCTATAATAATAACGAAGTTTATCATCTTCTCTTTATGACTTTATCAAAGATGCCTTAAGCTGATGGGCTTTCAGAAGTTTTCAAGACTTGTTTTCTGGGCTACAATCTTAACACAAATTTATCCTTGGGTAAACTATATATATAGTCTCATATTTTTCTTGCAAATTCTATTTTGGTCACTCAATTAATATTTTTTTCAAAATCATATTTAACGCAAGTAATTTTGAACTCAAATAGTTTTTTTCTGATAATCAGTGCAGACTTCCTTTTATTATCATTTACTTATGTTAAGCCTTATAAATTATCAATTATGATTAGTAATTTATAAATAAATTTTTAATATCAATAAAAATAATATTAAAATTAGTAGCTTAGAAAAGTCTTAAATGCTTGTTTTATTTTGTTGACTGATATATCAACTTACACCTATTCTCTTTATTTCTTTTTTCTCTTTTTCATTGCTTTCCTCTCACTCTTTGATAATACACCTGAAAATATTGGATTAGAGTACATGATTAGATGTGAGTGTGCGATGGGAAAAAGTCTATAGTGAAAGAAATTTCACTCGCAACAAAGTTTTGGTAATATATTAATGTAAGTGATAAAATATTAGTATATATTCGATAATAAATATGATTCCAATTCAATCATTTTCTTTATTTAATTGGTTTTTTTCTGTTTTTATCCATTTACTTTTTTTATTTCAAAATTCTTTCATCCTTATACATAATTTTCATAAACTAATGGGCTATAGTCAAAGCATGCGCTATCCTGTTAATGGCTGTCTTTTGTAAGTAACTGATACCAGTTATTTGATAACTATTAGAAAATAAATTTATTATTAAAAATATTAAGAGAATTTTTTATTATTATTTTATACTTTTATAAATTTATATCGTGACATCTCATGAAATGAACACCTTATTAAAGTTTAAGGGGTCAGAAGGAGCTAATTTAAAATTTTTAAAATCTAATCACCATTAGTAATAACAGCCAACAATGATCAACAATAGTAATAAACGAAAGAGTGGTTGATGAATTTGATCGTATTCTAAGGTTAAGAGAGTTGGTAATTCTAATGTAAGAGAAAAATGAATGAAATAAAAAACTCAATTTTAAATTGATATTTCATCAAAAGTTGAAAGAAAAGTGAATGAAATAAAGATTCAGGTTTAAATTGATATTTCATTAAAAGTTGTATTAGAATCGGAGTCGGAAAACATTTCTATCTGAACCGGTTTGTTTGCCATTTGAATTCATCGATATTATTGCACGATGGAATTATACCATTCAAAACATTTGAATTCTATCCTTTTAAATGCATTACACTTGTAAGTAATAAACTCCAGTTTAAAGATAAATGAGCATAGAACATAATAACTCCAGTTGATGTGAATTCTTAACATCACTTGTAAGAAGCAAATTCTGATCGGCGGTTCATCGACCCTCCTTGAGAAAAGAAGCAACCTCACTAGTTTTTTCTTCAGGGGGCTTACCATCTTATCTGTCATTACCCCTGATTCATTCTTCTGCTACATTCCAACCCCATGAGATCTTTGTAGAGGTTGAAGAATCTCTGTCGATTGAGCTCATGTTTTTTTTTTCCTTCCTTTTGCTTCAGTTTATGTTCGGTTTTTAGCTTTTCATCGGACTTCAATCTTTAATAATCGGGGGGGGGGGGGGTTTCCTTTTCTCGTGTTTTGTTTTCCCCAAACGCTCCGTTTTTAGGGACTCATTGTATTGTTTTACTGCTTTCAGTTTTTAAT